ATTAACCTTCCCACCCGTCCAACCTCCAGCCCTGGACCATGTCCAGCTCAATCCATTCACAAAGCTGAAAGTGGTCCCAAACAAACTCTTGGCATTGCTCCATCTTCTAAATGAATTTGTCTCCCGATGCCCTCACAGAAGAAAAGAAATACAGTGAAAAAAATAATTTTTATTTAAGGTTAAGTAATCTCCCGTCTGAAGCCCACGTACGGGTTTGTCAGTATAGTCAATGTCACCGCTGCTCCTGCCTTTCACGGCTGTGTGCAGAAAAAGAAAGCTGCAGCCAGAAATAGAAACAGAGAAAGTGATAGAAGGAGAATAGGGTGGAGGACAGTGCAGAGCGTGTGGCTGTTGTGATAAGAAACCAGGAGTTTAAAGGAAAGTCAGTGGAATAAAAACAGGAGACTCCGATTCAGCCGACATCAGCCGCAGCTGTACAGTTTTTATTATTTCATGCTGACTTTTCTTTATGTGATTGATTTCCTGTTGACATGAATATTTTAAATCAGGTTCCAGTATAGTTCAGCTGTTTAATCGTTTGCTCACCTTCTGTTCTTTCCTGCCTCTCTCCTTTTCTCTACATCTCAGAGATTCCCAGTTCGGAACTAAGCCTTTCGAGCAGACGCTCAGTGTGGATCTATGTGGAACAGCAGGTAAACACGCCACAGATTTACTTGTGTGTTTAAGGTTTTTTTTTTGTCACCAAGAACTAGGAGTTTATATTTTAGGATTGTTTTGGTACTTTGGGGTTTTATATCCCAATATCATCTTGGGAGAGTCACTCTATGTGGTACAAAAAGGCAGTAACTCTTAGGTGAAATCTCAGCATCATGTATTTAAAAAAATGAAATCACAGATGCTTCCACCTGCCTCAGTTTTCTCCAAAATTGGTTATTTTGTCAACCAGTTGATAATGAAACCAGTAGGTGGCAGTAATGCAAGTCAGAGTATGCAGAGCTGCTGTCAGTTCCCAAAGAGTCAGTACCCAGGTTCGAGAGTGGGAACCAGCTTAGCTTTTTTGTCCTTTTTAAATTGATCATTGTACTGCCCCCTTCTGGTCAAGCAGCAGGTTAATGACAGATTTGTCTTTGTTTTTATAACCTTTCTGTGTTGCTCTCCATCCCCTCAGGTCTCACCCCTCCCACTACCCCGCCTCACAAACCTGTTGAGGATGAACTCTTCAAGCCAACAGAGGGAGGAAAGGGTGGCAGCAGCAGTGACGACGGCAGCGGTGGCGGTGGTGCAGAGACGGTCAGTCTGACATCACATGTCAACCCCAACATTACCACGAAGGCCTCATCGTGGCTGAGCCGGGCCCATCCTCAGAGGAAGCTTCCTGAACAGACGGAGCTGTACGCCCAGCTGCGTCGCATGGGCCAAGCGGGTGACAGCGACACCAACCGAAACTTTGGCGACCACGACTACTGCGCACTCAGCCTAGCAGAGAGCCGCAAGCGTAGTGCCGCTATGCTTGGTGCCATACTGCAGGCACAAGGAGGGAATGATGGGGTCGGCGCCCCGGCATCCAAGGCTACCGACGATCAGGAATTAGTTGTGAAGGACAGGCTGATGTCAGAAGACGGAGAGGCGAAGGAGCAGCAGACAAACATGGTTGTGACATCATCTTCCTTCCTGCCACCGTCAGACTGTCAGTCGGTACAAACTGCAATACCAGCTTCAGAAGAGGAGGTGGAGAACTTATCAGAGTCCCGGTCGTCCTCACCCATCCTTCCATGTCCAGATTCTCCTGCCAGCAAGACGGACTACAGGTGAGACAAAGTGAAGATCAGGACAGAGGACACTATGTCCAGAGAGGAGAGAAAAAAGAGAACAATTCAATGTTAGTGGAAGATGCATAAGGGAAAATTCAACACTGTCCATGTTCCACTGCTCGCAGCATATTGCAGCACATACGGCAAACCACCTGCTACACAACATGGAACTCTGAAATCTGCATCTGTGATCTGTGCTTTGCTTTAAAAAGTTTGAAATCTGCATCTGTGATCTGTGCTTTAAAAAGTGGAGTGTAAAGTTGGACAGAAGTTGACAGCAGATCCTCAAAAGGCCAGGAGCAAATTCAAATTACGAAATATAATTAGGATTCAAACACTAATGGTTAGGAGTTGGTGAAGAGAAACCAGGGTTTCCAAGTCATTTTAGCAGTAATGACTGGACCATATTGGTTTCTTGTCTGTTTTTTATTACAGTTTTTGATAGCATTGCAGATTGCATTATGAATTTGTTACATTTGGTGGAAGTTGAGAAACATTCAACTGCAAGATCTCCACATGTTCATTCAGAGAAACAGAAAACACTGTTCTCTCTGTTGCTTAAAAACAAATCTTGAATCGTCCATGTAAGACTTATAAAAGCCATCTGTGTGTTCAGGCGCCAGTCTGACACACCTTCACACACAGGTGCTCAGGTCCATTTTTAGCAACAGCTGATTGGAGTTGTCTGGCCACACCACACAGGCTCTATAGAGTTGGGCACTAAACCTTAATTCATGGCTACATCACTGCTATCGATTGAGTCGTGAAAGAAACCCAACCCTGAAGCTTTGAGGAGATGGTTCTACGTTACACTGTGTTCAGTACAGAGCAGCATTGATTTCTCCTCCTAACATGTTGTAAACACTATATACAGAATTCAAGCTAAAGCCTGGAAGACATTGGGATCATTAAATGTAGTTTACAGGATCAGATTTTCACAGTCTTTTATCCTTGATTCTTTACTAGAACATTAGCGACGCGGTAGTTGGACGGCTCCTTCTGCAGCCAATAATCAACCATATATGTTTTCACAGGGGAGTTCAACCATCAGTAACTAATGAAATGGTTCAGATTCACTTCACACACACTTCAGTGTGAAATATAAGGCGCAGGTGGTCTTCAAAAGTAAAGAGTTGACATACATTATTATTACTAGCACAGATGAGCTGTTTCCCAGTGTTTGACATTGTAGCTGTAGCTGTCTGTGCTGCAGCCTCATTTATTTCTCCTTTTGTTCCTTCAGTGAGAACTCTGAGATCTGTCCTGACGACACACAGAGCAACACAGCCACGTCTGACGAGGTACACGTCTTTCAAACTCACTGTCGCCTCCATACTTTGATGCTGTAGATTTAAAGAGACTTGGTGTTAACAGCCTGAGCTGACGAGACTTTATGACACAGCTCCTTCTCAGTGTCAGCCTAAATGTAAATGGAGGGGACACAGAGGCAGGTGTGATGTCTGTGTAGCGCTCCACTTTAGGATGCCTGTCTTGTGTTCTGTACTGTCCCCTCTCCTGACCGTTGCTATGGTTTCCCTGTTGCCAGGACAACTGCCAGGTGTTTTACATCCACAACCTGCCCAACAGCGTGACCCAGAACATGCTGAGGAAACGCTTTCAAGTTTTTGGCAAAGCAGAGGACTGCAAAGTCATCATCTGCAACGAGTAAGTGCCCTGACCAAAGTTACTCAACACCAGCGCAGGGGCGGGAACTTGTTATGTTGGTTAACGTAGGAAACTTTAACGCCAAGTCATCACACAAACCCATCTCTATTTCCTTTAAAACAGGAAAAAGTTTTAGAACAGTGGTAAACAGGAAGACACAATTTGATAAGGGAGTGCTTAAATGTCATTAGCATTACAGGAAGACGTCAAACTACATTTGTTAAAAAAAACTGTTTGAGTCTATGTTTTTTTTACCAGTTAAAATTCCCTAAAGAAATGAAACATGCAGATATTTCATCATACTTTCACACAACCTTGGAAGTTTTAAACAGCCTTCTCAATTGTTGCTAATTCTTAGTCATATGTTATACCGTGAGCTAAAACCTTCTGTAACATCCAAGGCTGGTGTTTGTTTCAGCACTGAACTGAACTGCCAGGTGGAGTTTGAGAATGTTTAATAACTGTCCATTGTTTTAGTCTGCTGTAAGAACAATTTGCAACATTTGCTTTTTTGCCATATAAACATACTGTATTTAACCTGGATACAGTTTCCTGTGTTGAAACATTCAATCCATTTTTTTTGTCCCTGTTCTTGCCTGTGTTCTCTTTAGTGAGCGTTGTGGGGTGATAAAGATCCGCCAGGCAGGGTCTCAAAGACACTGGAGAGAGCGGGATAGTGGACCTGCAGGCCTCAGAAGGCTGACAAGGAAACGCTACATTGACCTTGGTAATTAAACACACACACTCACAGTGTTTAGTTTAGCGCTTTAGTTTTGTTTTTTTGTTTTTTTATTCTGAAGAAAATTGTCACCCATTTTTGCTGCCTTTATCATTTAGAAGTTATTAAAGTACTCATATTACATATTCCTTCCATGTTACCCTAACCCGATGCCACGTCACCCGGTACACTCCAAACATATGCAAATCAGGGATTAAGTTTCTAGGAAAAGTTGAATTGATCAGGAGTGTGAATGCGAGTTCAAATCCTTGTTTGTTTCTTTCTCCCAGTGAGTTCTCTAACACAGGCTGCTCCTAAAATCAAACTAAGGAGCTTCTGTTCTCTCTCTCTTAGATGAAGCAGGTCCAGGTCCTGTCAAGAGCAAGTACGATGCACTGGACTTTGACACTCTGCTGAAAGAGGCCCAGAAGTCCCTTCACCGCTGACAGCACAGCACCCATGACTGGTTTGCCTTAGGAAACTGCAGCAAACATCCCTCCAACTACACAGCTCTGCTCTCAGAGAAGGCCTCTTCGTACCTCGACGCAAGGCGACCTCGCAAAATGTTTACATTTTTACCATTGGAATAAAGTACCGACACAAACCTTGGTTTTTTATGTTTCTTTCACCGGAGGATACTGCTTAAAAAAAAGAGGAAGCCTCTGAGAGTCCCGACGAGCTAAGAGACTGTTGAGCAAATGGAACTTTTAAACGTACAGCAACTAAAAAAAAAACAATAATATAATTGTCTGCTGAACAATAACAACAAAGCTGCTTCCAGTCTGAGTCGGTGACATCATCACCCATCCTTGAATACATGGGTGTGAGAGACTTCTGTAGCAATTCCTTGCTATTCCTGCATCGCGTTGGTTGTTGTGGCGTGCGTTTCCGCGTGTGCGTGTACTCTGTTCGGTTTATTTTGTTAAAAAAAAAAAAAAAGGAAAAAAAAGAGAAAAATAATCACCCTATTTCAGACCAGGGGTGGTGAATGTGCAAATTCCGTTCACCATAAAGTTGTGTGGTTGTGTAATAGGGAAAAAAAATAATTTAACCATGTTTCGTTTTAGAGGGGAAAAATGTGGATGTTTTAAAATCTAAGTGTGTTTTATGGACAAAGAGTATAAAAAACATTAAATGTAATCATTTGATGACTGATAAAGTTTACAAATTTGAAATGAAGAAGAAAAAAAATCATGTTTTTTTTCTTTTTTTGTAATTGTAGTGCTTCCTTGATTTAATCTATGCACTGTAAGGAGGTAAATGTCTCCTCTGTCCTCTACTTTTCCCCCTGACGACTCTTATCTGTAACTCTGCCATGCTCACTATTTTTGGCTTATGCTACTGGCTGCTGCAGGCTCCGTGTGATCCGTGCTTGAAACGTTCAGACCCACATCTTAGATGTGGGTGAAAACCCTCTTTCACCAATTTCAAACAAAACCTGTTCCTGGAAATTATTCTACCAAACAACAAAGAATTTAAAAACACTGCTCAGGATATGGTAAAGGGTAGATCTATAGATTTTAGTCTAGTGTTATTAAAAAGTGAGATGATATTAAACTCTGTGTGATACTGAAGATGGCTCTGGATTAAAAAAAACATCTTCCCTATTACAATTTTTTCCTGCATTATGAAGCCTGTACTAGTTTCAAAACTGGCATCAATGAACATATAAATGTAATGTATAATCTTATTGGCTAGTTTAAAGTCTTCAATAGATCTTGGTGTTACATTTTTGGTGAAGATTAATTTACTTCATAAAACAGCATTCATTCGTAGAGAGTGACTGAAGAAACCATATGTTGGGTCTCAATTCCAGGTTATATTAATGACTGAAATCCATTTTCTTTGCTCTGGCCCAGTTATAGTCATTACTGGATCGTACCAGGTTTTTGACTAAATCAAAAAAAGGCTCCATGTCATAGGCTCAAAGATGGGAGGACTTAGCTAGGTAGGCGTACAACTCAATTTGCCGTCTGTTCCACAACATAGTCTAAATTTTTATTAGACTGCTAATAAAAAAAGTCAGAAATTTAGGTTTTACCCAACAACAAATTCTTCTGTTGATTAATCCCAGCCGTACCAGGGTATATTTACGTTCTGTTGATATTTTGTTGTTTCATTCAAATCAAGCTGTTTTTTCTGAACGGTTACCAAGGTGTTTGACACCAGATAATTATCCAAAACCAATTGCAAATGTTAGTGTTTACACTGAGACTGCAGCTAGCAGGAGTGAAATGAGAAATAAAAGTAGTTGTTAGCACTTTTATACCCAGTTCACCACACCTCCACCATCTACAATCTGACTAAGATCTAAGATTGGTTGGTTAAAAGTGAATGTATTCAATAATCTGAATGTAGTCACAGTGTCCTCCCATTTCTACTTATCCAAAGACTTTGCAGTTATTAAAAGTGGATTTGCTCAGACAGTCAACTTGCATGGATCAGCTAGTAGCATCTGAAAGTGCAGCCTGTCTCGTGGTCCTGGTGCAGCCAGTAGCAGCCACTGTCAAAAGAGAGACGATGCCTCCAAGCCTGTCAATGTGGTGGCAACTAACTGTAACAAAGCCAGGGGATGAGTGAGGTGTGGGCTTGGTAGTGATGGGGAAAAATAACAAAAACAATATTTTGCAAAGAGTCTGATTTTCATGTCCAGGAGGTACTGTATCAGCTGAGCATCTCTACCTCACATCCATCCATACTTGGTCTCCCTGTCCAAATTTGTCTGACCTGAAAGTCCCTCTCTTGTTTGTTCTGTTTTGTTTTGGTCATTTGTAAAATCTGTTCAATTTTTTCTGGGGGTTTTAAGTTGGGTTTTCCTTTTATACTATGACTCCTTCTGCTACAACGTCCTTTTTGAAAGGAACAATCTGTACCTGTCTTTATCCTCCGCTTGCCTCTAGGTGGTTTCAAGCGTGTCCGTTTTTTGGAGTCTCAATAGTGTGTCTTTGTGAGTGTTGTCTTTGTCTCGTGTTTGAGTCGGACACCGCTGATGCTTGCAGGTCAGTGCAAAGGAGTAGGGAGGGGGTAGAACGGTGATGGTTCAGTGGATGGCTGCTCCCCGGGCACGGCTCCGCTGTCATGTCTTCGGGGACAGAGCCATTCATCCTGATTTCTCCATTCCCTCTCTCCTTGGAATTTTAGCCTTTTCAGACTCTCTTCCTCTCTCTATAACTCGCTTTCCGACCCCGTGGGTTTAGTATCTTCTTGTTTGAGATCAGAACCCTGCTAACCTCCTCCACTACCCTTCTTTTTTAGGCAAACAATCCCTGTGGCGCCAAATCCCTCTGCTATCTAATCAATACCTTGGTAACACACACACACACACACAAAAAAAATGAATGTTTACATCACTTGATTCTCCTTTGACTTTATTAGGAACGCACACTAAGTACAAAGGCGCCTTATTCAGTGTTTAAATTAAAAAAAAAAATAAATAAGCTAGTGAAGGGGCCAGGAGAGATGAACACTTTTTATCTCTTCTGAGGCTCACTGAAACTAAAAAAAAAATTTAGTGCTATACATACTGATTTTGAAACAAGGTGTCAGGGAAAAAAGGAGAAATAATTTAAATTGTAACAAAAACTAATTGCAAACAACTGAATGAGTATTTGTGCTTAGTATGTATACTACTAAAAAGTGAGAGAATGTGCTGGTTTACATATAAAAAATATATATTATGGATATATAATGTGTATATAGCACTATGCCTCATTGTAAACATAAAATGTATTGTGTGTTTCTCTTTTTGTTTGAAATGGTGGTGGGTCACTTGTGATGCTAATCACACAGGAGACAGTCAGGTGGGCTTTTCTTTAACTTAATGTTCAGTGTAGGGAGAAAATGAAGGGAAAGAATGACTTCACCCAAAAGTCCAACACTGTTGAAAAAGAAAGACAAAAAACAACAATATACAATTAACCCTTTAGACTATCACACTAGAATGGAAGGATCTATTTCTGTTGTGCTGTATTTGAAAGTACTCTCTTTTATTCTTTTTTTTTATTTAAAAAAAGCAATTTATGATGCAATACAAAATCTTATCTCTTAGAACAGCCTTTCTGAAACACTGAGGTAATAATAATGTACAGCATTATGGATGGTCATCGATCTATGGAACAGGGGTTTTTTTTTTTTTTATGTTGCAGATTCAGACGGCTGCCGAACTTTACGTTGACTGCTGTTAAACTGAGACAAAGTCATAAAAACAAAATTACAGGAAGAATGTCTCGTACAAAAGTACACTACACATATAGAAGACAAGTGAACCCCCTTGCACAAATTACATCCCCAGTAATTAAAAACAATATCTGTGTTTTATATATTTGAAAAGAAAAAAGATCTTGCAAAGGCTTTTGCAACATTGTGATGGTGCACAGGCTTAGAGACATTTGTGTTACCACGTTAGCGGAAAAAGAATGTCGGCGGGGCAAACAGAAGACAAAAAAAAAAATCAAAAGTTGAACCAGTTTTATTGTTTAAAATAAGTGGAAAAAAAACAGTTAAGACGCTGTAGAAATCCCACTTTCACTTTCTCAGAAGTGACTGCTTTGTGTTAATCAGAGATTACAAGCTGCCTGAGTGAGAGGATCCTAGCTTAGCATGGTTGGTGTGTTAGCGAACGTGTTGGCCCTGAGTTGAGTTCAAGAGGTGGACGTTGAGCGTGTGGATGGGGCAAAATCTGCCTTTTAGACCAAAAACATTACCTTTAAACACTTTACTCTTTTAAAACATGACATGTATTCTCTGCAATACTACTTCCTGTTTGAGCCATTTGCTTTTACTCTTACAAAATTCAGACTTCCTGCGTCTATCTGGAAACCTTAAGCCATTAGTATGTGGGGGGGATTTCTACAGTGACTGCTGCCATGCCTGTGAGAGCGCCCCCCTGTGCCCTCTTAGGTCAGTGACATCAGAACGATCCCATTCTTCATCATAGCAAGCCTTAAATACTAACCTGGGGAGAAAACAAAGCTACCACTAGCTTTTTCGTATTTCATTTTAAAGTCCTTTCCAATCCAATGTGGTTTATTATAAAATAATTACAGACGTAATTATAACTTTTTCAATAGCCATATAATAAAAAAGGTATATACATATATATGAATATATATTTGTGTGTTTGTGTAGATATATAGATGATTATATACTTTCTTATAGAAAACTTTGATGTTGACCATTCTCCTCAGTGTTTTGAGAACACATGTATACATTTCAACGTTAACACCGCTGTCCGCGTGGCCTAGGATTTAGGTCAACAGGCTTTAATCAAAGCTTAAAAAAAAGTAATAATTATTCCAAAGGGAATTACCCTAATCTAAATGCAATACTGTTTTTCCACCATTCATTTCAGAAAAATGGGAGAAAACCAGAAAACTTGACAACCATGTTGACCAAAAAGAAAAAGTCGTTTTAACAATACAAAGCGTGGCTTATGTTTCAGATTCAGTTTTATTCTCATTATGTTTCCGATGCCATGACCCCACATCCTTTGTTTCAATGTGGCTTTTATTGTTTCGAGGAACATAATATCTGTTAGACGAGCTTCAACATCTGCTTGGCCCCTACCACAGCAGGAGTGCCCGCGACACGGCCCATGTCTGGCCCAGGTTTTGCTTTCATGTTCAATATCTCATGAATGGTTGTGTCCCATTCAGCGTCAAACAGTTGTAAGACACAGAAACGTTAACGGCTAATCTGTAAAATGTGACGGTAATAGTAATGTCGCATAAGCACTTAGTATGGACTGCAAACTGTCGAGATCTGCTAAAATGTGAGTGGGTGTAATATTTTGATTTTTTTTTCTTTTGTGTCTTTTCTTTTCAATACTTTGACATAAGGGCATACGTTTGTTGGTTTATTCTTTACTTTTGATTTATTTCTCTATTTACTAATGACTATCAAATTCGCAAATTATTCTTTTTTCTTTTTAACTTAGTTTTGGTAAATACAAAAAAAAATGAAAATACTGCTAGTGAGATTTTATATTTTTACATATGTTTGTTTTATTTTGCGGGTTTTTTTTTTATTTATACGCTACCTAGTTTGGATACTTTAAATTGTGTTTTTTTTTTTCTCTTTTCATTTTGTGTGATTTCATATGTCTTGAGAATGTGGAGACAAAGGCATTTCAGTATTTTTGAATTGTTAAAATCTAGTTTCATAGAAGCAGAAGTATCTGATGTTATAAATTATATTTTAATTCATGTAAATAGTTTAAAACAGAAGACTACGGCTTCCTTTTAAACTGAATACATTTCTCTTCAGAGATTGTTTACATTATGAAACTGTAGAGATGTGCTCCTCATATACTGTAAAAAAAAGTACATATATTCATTGATTTGCCTCCAAAAAATAAAAATCCTAATGAAAAGTATTCTCTGATTTCCGATCATTTTTCTTACATTTTATATCTTGTTCTTGCCTTTAGATTTTATGTCTTTCCATATCCTGTTTTATTAAATACAATTCCGTATATTTATATATACAGTGACATTTTCGTGACATTTGCAACAAATGACTCTGATATTTATATGCAATTTATATGGCATTTTTTTCCATCTCACAGCACTTCTTGTCAAATAAGAAATACGTAGGCCCCATGACTAAAAACATTAAATGAATAATGAAAATGTCATAACATTAATATTTGAGAAATAATCATGTCTTTATATTAGAATGGAGAGATTTGGTCCACACTGAATTAAAAAAAATGGTAAAGTTCCAATCCAGGGTAATAAAGTTAACAAAAATATCAAAATGTCTCCTCTCTGTCCACCTGTTACCATCTCTTTCAGGGCAGAGCATGGTTGTTGAAAAGAAAAAAACAACAACAAAAAACACCTACTGGTAGGAGACCAATCAGAGGCCTTGGATGAGGGGTGGGGCCTTCTGATGCCAGATTATCATCCAATCAGAGAGTGTTATACTGGATTTGTTTGGGTTTGAAAATGAAGGAAATGCAGTCTGTACAAGGATAGTGGTTGAGAAGACATTCAATAAGGATTCATTTAAATGGATAATGTTTGTATCTCAAGACCTGATGTGGACCAACTGGAGTAACTTGAGAAGCTTTGATAAAGCTAACTTTGACACTGAAGCTACTGTTGGCTAACTATCAGCGGCTCACCAAGACTGGACACACCTCAAGCTCTATTGACAACATCTCAATGGTGAGTTCTGCTGGATTTTGTTCTTTTGGGAAGCTACTGTCAGCGCTTCTGTTTTCAGTTTAGAATATACTAGAATATTTCATTGTGTATATTTCAATATGTATGTGCCTGTAGTTTGTTGTTGTGTTGTTGTGTTGTTGTAGTTTCTTGTTATTAAAGTATGTGAAGTTAACATAATGTTTAGCAATTCTTTTCTGGCAGTGAAACAAACTGTGGACCTTTGTACGTATGTGCGTGCAAATATAGAGGCTGGGAGTTTGAAGAAATGAATGACTGACTGATTTAGTCTCTGGACCCTGAAGGCAGCACAGCTCACATTTTCTGCATGAACTAGCTTCAGTGATTTGCAACAGTTTTAGGTCAGTAGAACAGTATATCAGAGCATTTTGATCATACTGTATATGTTAATAATACTTGCATGTAGAAGGAAGTCACTTCTTCAGTCTCTTATGTTGTACTTGTGCTTCTCTGTATGTGTTTAGCAGTTTGCTTACATTTATTTATATACAACTGCAGCCAACAGCCTGTCTAGTCTGGACTCACACACACACCAACTTAACTAGCACGTCTCCCTTTCTAGTCGTCCCCTGGTTAAACAGCAGTCTATTAACAGGCTGCAGGCAATTTTCTGCCCGGATAGCCTGTGATTTACATGTCACTGACTGCACTGATAATGTCCACGCATGGGACACCAACGCTGCTCCACTGATGGCGTCTAATCATGTCCTACCAACACACAGGAAAGTCAGTTATGTTCCTTCAGTCACAAGATAAAGAAAAACGTAGTTAACGTAACAGTTGACTACAGTTATCTTTAGTGTTCCCTCTAATCTGGATACACACTGTTAGTTCATAACAGGTAGTTCACCTTTCCTAAAGTTACACTGGGATGCATATATTATTAAAAAAATAATAATAATATTTTTGTCATGGATGTTTTTTTCCATCCCCCCAAATCTGAAGTTACGACAAATGGGGAAATGACAACAAAAAGGAATGCTTTATATACATAGCATAGCATAGCATTGCATTTTTTATTTTATTTTGGATGGCACCAAATATATGGTTCTTCTGGGACGTATCATAGCACAGCATGACCGTGGTATATTAAAATTGTTGATGTAAACTCACATGCAAATTTTTACTTTTATGTATATATGTATATACATACGATTGTGATTCTGCATGGGAACAACCTTCAGTTGGTGACCTTCCATGCAAAAAGCCACTGAGATGGTCATTGCTAAAAGGGAGTTCCACATTTTTAATACAGGTAGTGGCTACACTTGGTCTCTGCGGGGCCAGAACAGTCTACGTTATGTAAATTTTTATGCCGGCCAGGTTGGACGTTCAGAGTTCAGCTAAATTGTTCTTTTTTCTCCAAAACACAGGGTGACCTCCACATTCCACCGAATGCATTCATCTAATAAAGATGATTTTAAAACGAGTCTGGATTTATAACTCTGCCCTTTCTCTAATCAAGCAGAGCAAGATATATCAGAGATGGTGAGGCTACTAAGAAATGTAATGTAGTGCTCCTTGCTGGCTGCTCATCATTCTGTGTTCAAACCCCTTTAACCTTTTGTCAAACTCCTGTGTAATGTGATGAAAACAGAAGGAAAATCAGAACTCGGAAAGTTTAAAACAACGTCAGAGTTCATGAAACAGTATGGTCCCAGTGGAGTCTGGTGATTTATGAATTTAGTTTTTTCTCTTATTTCTTCTTTTCACACTTGACAAGTTGGATTGATTTGATTGGTTCTATAATGTTTCACCAGGTGAATGACATTAACCCATCAAGACAAATAATGTTATAAAGAAGCCTTAATTCCTTATTATTATTATTAATTAAGGCCACATCATGGAAGTGTAATTGATAATGTCCCAATACCAATGTTCATTTTGGTATTATGCCCTATATTTCATTCAAAAAGTACTTAATACATTCGTCAGCCCAACAACCCAATACTCTGTATAGGCTTATCACTGCGGACCAGTCAGGCAGTGTGTGTTTTCCTACTGCAGTCCAGTATGTCATTGCCTTCATGGGTAGTTTCCTACTGGTTCTAGAACTGCTTCTCGACAATGTCAGAAGTTTAGAGGTATTTTATCTGCATTGACAACAGGAACAAGACTTACTGTAAGATTAGTTCTGTTGGGATACAAGCAAGTGAATAGAACAACTGTAGCTGTGCATTAGCTCTTAATATGCTAATGTCTCATTAACTAAACCGTGGATAGATTTGAAGATGTTTGATTAATATAGAAATATTTATTTCCATTGGATTTGGCTTTAAGCATCTACCTATTTGGTGTCCTCACTTCATGTATCAATTAAAAAAAAAATCGTACTTGCATTCGTTTGTAAAAAAAAAAAGTAATAATAATAATAATTGTTAGTACGTTTGACTAAAAGCTGGAAGATCCTGAAGATAACTGTTGGTCATCCTCTACAGAATTGACACTGTATGTTCCCTCTGTGCGTTTGGCCACCATGACAATCCGGTACACTGTTTATTTGTGCTCTGCGAATCTTATCTTGTAGTATAGATAGAACTTCAGGACACTTTTACAGGAGTTTTTGGCAAAGAACAGGCTGTTGAATCTATTTTCTTTTCCGACCATCAGGTGACCCTGTGTAAGACAGAGGTTAAAGTCTATGAAGCCAATGAACCTAGTGTACAATGGTTCCAAAAGGCAGAGCTGCAACACTGAGATAACAAAAACATACTTTTTATCTTTATTTTTCTTGTATAAATAAACGGCAGGCCCAACGCTGTGGCCTTCGAGATGGTGATACAAACTCTTCGCCGCCTCGCTCACGGTTAGAACATTGTTACATTTGCTCATCCGTATTCATATTTACTCAGCTAATTTCAAATGTATTAACCTTTCTCACCTCGGTGAATCTTGTTGCAGAAAGGGGCAACAAACAGATAGAATTCTGCCTGTCAGCGTTCCTCTGTCCTACTGCCCTCTGTTTGGATGTTTCTGTTAGGCTGTCGTGACTGCAGCAAAAAGAGCTGCTCTGCACTGCAGTTATTACACACACACACAGTCAGTGTCATCGCCATAAGCATCAGCTTAACTCTGACAGGGGATGCTGGGATGAGACACGTTCAGACACTAATGGTTATTTTTCCTGAAACTTGGAAAATCAGGGTTTTCTTTAAGGTCATCATCTCCACCTACAGCCACTCAGTGTCTGTATGTAAGAGAAATGAAAATAATTGACGGTTCCTATGAGATCTGCTACAGCATGGATCTAAGCTAATGTGTCCCCGGCTAAATCAGAACGCTGTTTGAGTCTAAATAGTTGTGAAATAAAGTTATTTGACATTTAGACAGAGAAACTCTAAACTCTGAAACATTCAATCGTCTTCTAATTCTTAATCAATTTTCAAAGTTGCAGTCCTCTGTAGCCAATCCCAGCAGTCAAAAGTAATAATAGTGGAGTATACCACGGACAGTTGACGGTGCAATTTAGAGCAAGGAAAAAACCATAGTACCAGGAGAACACGCATGAACTCCATAGACAGATGTGATCTGCTGTAAGACAGGAGTTCTAACTTCTGCTACCATCTGGTCCTTGATTTACTCAGTCTCCTAAAAGTATGGGGGACCCCCCCCCCCAATAGAGCTGATTTATATAGCTATAAAAAATGTATATTTAAATCTGACTGTAACCTTTGTTTGCAAAATAAATCTGCCAATGGAAGCAGGAGTTCATCAACATGGCTTTAGAAGTACTTTAGGACAAATGTATAGACTGTGAGATAAACTGTATTTTTTTTTTTTTTGACACTTCTGTTACTTTACTCCCATAATGTTGTAGATATGTCCACATTCTGTGTAGAGGCTACAGTAGAGCAGTTAAACTGAGCCCTGACTTTGTTTCCTCCTCCGTTCTCAGCAGGACAGTTGAATAGAGAGAAAGAGAGTGGCTCTTTGTGCGTCCCGTCTATGAAACTGAAAAATGTTGAGCCACAGATGGCTGCGACACGCAGACATAATGATCTGTCTCGTCTGTAATTCAATTTTGTAACTCAGAAGTCGCAGTTAAGACTCTCAGAAACTAAAATGCGAAATATGGCTCCGATAACATCTATCGAACTGCAGCCCACGGTGGTGTGTGATTGGTCCTGAAGGATGGCAGCCATGTGGGATATTGGAAACTGGTGACTCTCCAGGAAAATGAATGACTATGTAAGAATCACCTTGACCCACAGGGTGTGACCACAGCTTGTTTCTAAAATGTTTCGGGGGAAAAGAAAATTGTACCGACCGTCTGATTGGATTGTAGCATTTGTGAAATAAATTACACCGTGGAAGTGGAAAGGAAATCATTTTTAACTGTAATCTGTTCCGTCTAGTGTTTTCTACATGGCAAAGTAATTTACACCTACATTTGTAGCACAGGCCGTCGAGCCATAACAACATTAGAACAGCTTTTTAATCTCCGAACATCAAATTGATTCTACGTTGATTAGAAAAGCCCAACGTTTACTGAAGCAGTCAAACAGGGAGAGATTTCTGATTAGGAAACATAATTACCTGAAATCACATGCTTGTGTGTTGAATTGTTATTGTTTTATGCCTTGTAAAATATACTTTTTTGGTAAGAATATATTAAACCTGTCAGGGAATCATGTTTTTGTCTTTGTCTTCTTGCATTGTTCAGTAAACTACCAGTAAAAATACAGTTTGTCCCAATTTGTGTATAAAACTTGAGAGAAATGATTTTTGCTCAGTTTTATGCCCCACGTTAGAAGGAATGGTGAGAAAAGATGAGACGATGAAAGGTCACATTATCATGGTCTCCTGAGGTCACGTCTCTGCGCTTACATTCAGTGTTACCTACATGAACAAAAGGTCAGAATGTCTTAACATTTAATTCACACTTTCCTTCTTTATTTACACTTGACAGTTGGTGGAGAACTACTTGTTACATATTGCTAAGATTTCAAATATAGTTTCTAATTATTTAGTAATTTTCTCTTCTGAAATGTCACCAATGTGCCTGAATATTCTATTGTTAGGAAATTATTTTCATTAATTAAGTTATTGTTAGTGTTTATAGTCATGGTTTATAGTGTTTTTCGGGGGAAATTGCCAAGATGGCAAGTGAAAACCTCCTCTAAGTTAATGATGTTTGATGATTAGATGTTAGAGTTCATATATGGGTTGTTAAAACAAGAATACAAAACTATTCTAAAACCTGGTCATTAAATGTCCATCTAAGCTTCTGCAGTACCATTATTCCCATGTACTTTGGTATTTCGTGTTTGTCAGATATTCAAAGCATTTATTACATGCTCTACAGGTACATGTATTTGTTTACAGTCCAAAAAAGAAAGCTCTAACTTGTTGTTATTTCTGTCTTCTTTCTTTCTTTCTTTCTTTCTTTAATCACCAGCACTGTGATGCCGTCTCCAGCTTAGACCACGCTGGGACAAGAAAAGCAAACGTGTCGAGCTGCTCAGATACTGTAGCCAACCCATGTGCCTTCTTCCTCCTATAAATAGTCCCTGCGCCGCTTGCTCCGCTGCTTCTTGCAGGCTGGCAGCTCTGCAGTCACGACTGCCCCAGAACCCTGCTACACAGGCACAGCTTTCTCTCCTGCAGGCTCAGTGAGAGTACTGCAGCTGCTGCTCTGCCTCCCCTCCTCTCTCTCTCTCTCTCTCTCTCTCTCTCTCTCCCTCTCCCCCTCCCTGTCTGCAGTCACAGGTTGTCTCTACGTCAGAGCGCCACAGCTTTGCACACCCAGCTCACCATCACAACCGTATACGGTAATCCTTTAAGCTCCCAGCGTGCCTTTACGTCATAGGGACCTACGTCATGGGTGCTTACATCACAGAGTGGTGACGACACGCTCAGGTTATGTATCCAGGGCTATTATTACTCCTAAAGGAAAGAGGGAGGATGCTGATCCAGCTCATGTGCTGCTGCTGCCCCCTCTCCAGTGGTGATCACTTCTCATTATTCTGCTCTGCCTTCACACTGGGGTTTGTAATTGTGTTATGGTTAGTTCTGGGCAAGAGATTTTGAATAACGTCTATACACACTCACACACCCGCTCTCTCTATCTGTCCTGTATCTCTCTGTCACATGCATATAAATGTTGTTATAACCAGAAAGTGCAGCTAACTGCTATTTTTTTTAAATGTCAGCTTTTGTACGTGACACTTCATAAATATGCATCCACTCTGGTCCTTAGTCTCACTGCAGACTGGAAAAAAAAAACTGACACAAACTTAGTCAAAATAAACGTACACACAACACTGGTGCTTGTATTAAATCTTACTTTAATTTCTTCTAAAACTGTTACTGTAAAATCAATGTCATTGATACTGAATACTTTTAAATCAGTTACTTAGTGATGGTTAAGTTATTATTCAACTTAACCCTTTCCATCCCATCCTTATTTGTAATGTGTTATGTGTTCATTACTGCACACATAATGTTATTTGTTGTAATATATCTTTATAATTATTTTCTTTTTTTACAATAAAACCCTAAATCTTAATTACAGTTGTCCAATACAATGTTAAGGTGACTGTTCAGTGTAGTCAAAACCAGAAACTATTACCTCTTTACTGTAGTTAACTGTGTTTCTAGTTAATTGCATCACTATGTCAAACCAAAGACCTAACACACGGTTTTAATTGTTGCTGGTTTGTCCCCAGTGTGGCTGAAAGAGCCATTGCTCCAGGGATTGGGTTTAGACGTAAAGTACTAATTTTGTTGTGTGTATGTGTTTGAATGTATACAGACCTACGTAGTTTGATTAGGTTTTGCCATCTATCTACTGACAGTAGTGTTGTCAGTGTGATAATTACAGTCTGGAATCAGGTCTGCCACCCCCTGGTTGGAAAACAGTAGCGTTGCTTACTTGACCCCAAGCCTTTATAAAATTACCAGTTTTATAGAGCACCACCAGATTTGTTCTGATATGTTGGTGTAACGACAACATGGATGGTTTGGCTTGTTTTATTTCAAAATTACAGATTTTCTTTCTTGGCTGCTGTATTTATATATTTTTCTCTTTAAATTACAGATAATTTCATTATTTATTCTACAGTTTATTACATCTCTAAACTAATATTAAAGGTGCGTGTAACTGCACAACCGACATCGGCACACTCAAACATTTAGTACAGAAGATCCAGAGATGGACATAGACAGAGTCAGCAGACTGGTCTGGCTGCAGGATATCTAACTGAGAACACACGTCTTTGACTGGGTCTGGGCTGAAGCTGCTGCAGTGAGAAGCAAAACAAGAAGAGAACAAAAGTCATTCCAAATGTAACCAAAGTATCCTACAATCCTACAAATGTGTTGAACTTCTATGTGTATTTTGTGATCGTGGACGTCCCATCTACTGCATATGTTCTACTCTTAGTGGTTGTTGAGAAAGCATCTTCATCGTATTTACATCTGAGAGCCTTGTACCTTGTTTGGCTGCTGTAGTTTTCTGAGCGTCCCCCTCCTTGGCTTTCTTGGCTTCTTCCAGAGCAGCCAACTTGGCCTCATACTGCTCCTTCAGGGCGTTCCACTCCTTTCTGTTGTTCAATAAGCGGTCCAGCATGGGCGTTATCTCCACATGGAAACGGCTGAACTCCTGCAGCGCAGCAGAAGGAAGTGGAAGAAAAAAAAGATGATGAATCTGACTATAAATACTTACCAGCAATGCTCCAGTATTTTCAGCTGCAACACAGACCAAAAAAAAAAAAAACAACAAACAAACGGAGTTCTGGAGGGACTCATTAGTTAGTGGATGGTTTGCTTTTGTTTGTGTTCATTTGTGTGAAATCTGACCTTGTACACAAAAGCGCAGACAAAGTCGATGAAACCACACTGCAGCTTCGGCAGCTCGTCTGCTTTGTTTCTGTCCATCATTGGCTGAGATGTGAAAGAAAGAGAAAAAGAGAGGGGGAAGATTAAGAAAAAGCATTAGCTGAAGTCTGGTTATCAACCTTAATGTTCAGATCATTAAATTAGATTTTGATTTAAATGGTGTGACAGAAAATCCAATTCTAAAGATACAAAATTTTATATGGTATTTGGTCAAATCAAGTATTTGAGTGCTGTACTGTAGGTCTAGTAACCTTGGTACTTTGTGGTTTCAGTTTTCTGTCATGTCTGATGACACTTTAATCCTTTTGTCTTTATCTGTGCTACAGCTTTACTTTATACAATTAAAGTAGTAGTAATTCTTCTGTATGTCAAGTTAGTTCCACCTGATCCTAAATGATACTACATTATGATCCTAAATTACATGTAAATGTTCAACAACCAAAAATTATCAAAAAAACTAAAATAAATATAACACAAAGTAACAAAAAAAAGTCATAATTATAATCATAATAAGGTGTAGATGTAAAAAATATAGTGGTAAAATTTAATCTCAATTGTATAACTGAATATTCACCACTGACTAATGTACAAAGAAAAAATAAATAGTTGCAGGCCAGCAGTTAATTTGAAATTGTGTTTCAAAAGACAAAAGTGTAGTAGTCTGGTTCTTTTTTTTTTTTTAGCAGAAGAGTGTAGTGTATGAAAACACATCAAAAGTGTCATAAGTTAAAATACAGTATGCTATAATTGCTCCTAAAACTGCCAACCTTTCTTTGATAAAGTTTGACTCTTTTCTTCCTGCTGTCAGATTGCAGTGACATTAACGCAGGGAAAAATACGTACTGATAAAATAGTGAAAATAATTTGAAAAAAACTTTCCCACTGACATGGATATTTTTATCGTAACAGTGCCGTGAGGTGAGATGCAGAGGTTTTTCACTCAGCGTCTTACATTCCTGTCTCAAGGACATAAGGAAATGATACAGAGAGAAGGAGAGACACGGAGGCTGATGCAGTAAAAGGAGGCCGAGAAGGGGAAGGTTTGGTCGACTTGGTTAGTTGCAATGTGCCCACTCGTTCCGTATCACTGCTTCAAATAATGGCCCGATTTTGTCCAACGCTGACGCCAAAGGGAACAAAATCTGTCTTCCTGTTTTTTGTCTCTGGTTCTCTTTATATTTCAGCGCATTCCTTGCCTTTATTCATGATATGATCACAGATAAATATCACAGTATGGTCATAATAGACTTGTCCACCAACAACTCTTTTGCTTCAGTGAAACGAAATTGATGAGAAAATAAAATTGTTGACATCTAGTCACGGGCCAGATTTTTTGGGGTTCCTGGGCTAGAAGTGGCCCCCGGGCCAGAAGTTTAGAACAGAGCAAAATTCATGGAGAATGTTCTTTGAAATAATGTACGTTATTAAGCAGTATTCTTGAATAGGTCACCATATTTATTTGTAAAGTTTCATTTCCTTTCATTTATATCACTGGACCAGTCTTCACCTACGTCCAGTCTCCCCCTCCCATTTCTTAGTGCTTACAATGGGCTGTTGCTCCAAGACTGTCCTCTCAAGGTCTCCCTGTTCCCAGAACTCTGCAGCTACAGACAGCGCCACCTAAAGCAAGAAGGAGTACATGTTAAGTCATATTTGAAGTCATTTTTCTTCAGTGACCTGCAGGGAAAGATTTCTAGACAAGAGGACTTCTTCAAAAAAGAGTCAGTCAATAAAAAGTAATAAAATGTGTCAATATGACCAAAGAGATGGATGGAGACTTTGTCTCCAACCTGTCCATGAATCATCTGGTGGAAAATTGCCATATTTTTTTACCCACCGTGAAAAAGATTCTTCTATCTTACCTTCTATAACTGTACATATATGACAATTTTCTCATATAAAGGTGTTACATTTTGATATATTATCACTTTAAGTTTCAGGTTTGGCATAAAAGTGACACTGCTGAAACCTAATTTTTGCAGGAGCACTTTGTTGAACAGGAAGAGCAGAGGTAGTGTCTGTTAAACCACTGTGAAAAGCTTTCACGGCGTCACATAAATGAGAGTCTTATTCACTGATTCTGCTGCATTGATGAGATGAAATCCCTCTTTTTGTCTCACTGCACCCACAAAAAATAGAACAGCGTGAAATCTGATGAATAATATGAGTATTCTTGCATTCAGAGTAAGAAGGAGAATTACTGGTTATGGAATGAGTTAGTTATTGAGCCATTTATGGGGTGGGGGGGCTGCCATGAGGGCTTGTGGCAGCTGTTAGATGAGATGTTCTGTGACCGTGGGAAGCAGAGCTGAGGGGGGGAGTAAAATATCTGCTGTGAAAACGTCAGTGGAAAGTAAGGAGTACGGAACAATGTCGAGCTTGGTGTCTCCAGAACATCTAGGTGGAGTGAGTGTATGTGTCATGGAGAAACATCTCTGTACGTTTTAGTGTAAATGTGAGAATTAAAGAGCCTTATCATCTTAAATCACACACTAGAGCAAGAACAGAGACTGGTTTCACACTACAGGAGGTTTGGTTCATGAACTAAACGTATCTAGAAGTCTGTGATTCTCCCTGAGCTTAGCTCCACGGCGGCAGCATCCAGCTGTTATTCTGTTTCTGGATTTAATCTCTTACGGGAGGGAAGTTTGTTATCAGGCTAACTTTGCAGCAGAATTCACAGGATTCCTGACAGCGTGCGTGCGTGAGTGGGATGTAGCGCTGACTCACCAGGTGCAGGCTAAGGTAAAATGGAACTAAATATAACGCCAGGCAAAAGTACTGGTACATTTAATTGGCAGCAAGTGAGCAGAGAAAAGGACGAGGAAAAAAACTTTTAATAATCTGCAAGTTTGTCCTTTCCACTTTTGTTCTTTTTTCACCCCCACCGAACTCCAGAGCAAAAACTCATTGGACCCCCTATCACCACCCTCTAGCCCCCAGGCCATAAGAAGATAAAGTGGGGAACCAAAAAGTTGGGATTCAGGTAAAAATGTCTTTAGGAATTCTGTCTGACTTCATGATTGTTAGGTGTATATACACACACTGGAAAAGGGAATTCATTTTAACATCAGCAGGGAGGTCATAATAGACTATATATATATATACATGTGTACATATATATATATATGTACATATATACATATATAGATATGTATACATGTGTGTATATGTGTACATATATGTGTGTGTATATATATATATATATATACACACACATAGAGAGTGGGTTTCCTGTCTGTTGATGTTAAAATTAATTTCCTTTTCCAGATAAAGTTGAAAATTCAGAATAATAATCTAATGATTATTATAGTAAAAGTCAGATTTTTTCCCCCATCTTTATTAAAAAAGGTCAAAATGTTCTGTTGTTTTTGTGGGTATTATAAAAAAATGCTAACTGGAGAGCTACTGTAGACCTGAGACTACTTTAACAGCACCAACATTAAAAGCTCCAAAATATGAGGAGTTGACAAAGGGGACAACAGCGATAAACAGAACAACATTGTTATTCCACATATCGCTGCCGTCTCTGGGAAACTGGAGAGGGTATTTGATAAATGTCATAATTGTAGTTCACTTCAAACCCCAGGGCTTTGACACAAAGGACAAAACAAAGAGGCATAAAAGCAATTTACTTCTTAGCACGGCACGACTTCCCAGTCCTGTGAACTGAGGAAACCAAATATCCACTGCTGTGGGATGGGGCACACTGTGTTTATGAGACAGAAACGTGTGTTCTGGTCCGAAAAGACAGATGTTTTTAGAAGTAAAGTGAAAGTGGACACAGTTTTACAGAGAAGGCAGCTGAAGGCACAAACTTTCACTTTCAGTACTGTCCCAGAAGGCTTAGCAACAGAAGATCAGTAGCTCACTCACTCAATTTTCTATCAACTGATTCTCATTTAAAGGTTGGTTTGGATGGAAGTTGTAAATCTGACATGTGGCTATGATTATATATTGACCATTTACAGGTGCAAAATACCTGCAACCAACCAACCAATCCCAAAGCAGGGAAATATGTGTTCACCACGGTGTCACATTCCCTTTTGTTTCAGATATTCTCATATCATTTGGGACTGAAACTAGTCATTTCTGACCCTTATTGTTGTATGAAACACTTTGGCCACTTTAAAGTCAGTGGTCAATGTTGCTGGACTGCAGGCAGGTCAGACAGAAAGAACAATATTACTTTTTATTGTCCTTCATGTCAATGTCAAAATTGTTGCTTTAAATTAGTTTTGTTTTTCATGTTAAAATCATAAAAAGCTGAAATTAAATGTTTGACCTAAGGTTTAATAATTTTTAAGGTGAAAAAAAGGCTCTAAATCCATAAACTACATCCACCTCCTCTATGTTCTTGTACTAAAAACCCATGGGATGAATAATGAATCTATTTGTGTGACAAACTGGTTTGATTGGCTGCCGGTGATCCATGACAACATCTCATGTAATTAGCTGTTTGGGGTCCAAAAATTTAATCACCACATTAATGAGCCACAATAATAATAACAGATCCCTGAAGACCACATTCAGGAAAAAAACAAACATAATGAGGCAAATGTGTAGATCCATACTGGAATTATGTTTTATCTCTCTGCAGAAAGCAGGATGTTTTCCTGCTTTCAAGGCTGTGATGTGGCAGGATGTGACCATAAATATAACAGTGTGTGTGAGTAAATATGAGTAAAATATAAGTATAATGTGCTGAGACCGGTATAACATTTGGATAATATGATGTTAAAAAGACAGATACATGGTAATTTTAGCATGTTTTTTCTGTTCATAAATTCTGTCATAATATAACAGAGAAAACTACCATTGTTGTGAATTACTGTCACTTCTTCTATGACAGCTGCGGTGCACTTCATGCTACGTATGCATATATATGATTATGAAGGTGTTTTATTTTAGAAAAATGGCTTACGCTCCAAGTCAATTGCAGACAAATAAATATGTGCAGGGGAAATATCACCCTCCAGCAGTGCTTGTGAAAACAGAGAGATGCTTTCTGATCATATTGATACGCCCGTGTTTGCGGCTTCAATGGCAATGTTTATATACGGCATTCTTCACTGGAATATAGCGCTGCTCCTGCCAGGTGGTAATGAGAGAATAAAAAGCAGCAGGTTGTTCTTGATGCATGAGGGCCATCAGGAATTGCAGACGCTGTGAGGAATGGCATTACTTACGAAATGTCATTCCGTCTCCATTTCTCACCGATTCCTATTCCCGAGCTCATGTACGCAACTGTGTCTTATTACTGACAGCAGGTGGATGCTTCAGATTCCTGAAGCTTTAGTGCCATTTTACCATGGCTGCCTGGAATAAAAGGACTCTTGTGCAGACGTCACACAGTTTCATACCTTACTCTGAATCTCCCATGGTTTAGCGATTGCAGAAAGGTCACAGGCCGTCATCATCATGGCCCTGAAAAAGACATGCCATAACATTACAGTATTTGACAGTGTACACCTTTTGGGTACATTTTAGTTTTACCAGTGCAACCGGTGTGTCTGCCTACATTACAATCTCTTTCCGTGTGGTCTCCAGCATCATGTACTTGGTCCAGTCGTTCCAGTTTTCATAGGTTTTGGACTGATCCACAATCTTCTGGAACATTGTCCTCTTTCTACACAGAAAATACTCACTCATAACTACTCACTTTTGTAGTACAACTATCTTATGTCAGGACTCTATTGTACTCTACTGTTACATCATTTACTTGTTACATGTAGAATTACTTATTCAAGGGAATTATAAGTTGCTTTAAAATAAAAATTTGTTCTGACTTGAAATAGAGAGCCAGGTCAGTGGCAATGATGGCGATGTCCATGAGGTGGATGACGGTGTCGTGCTGACGGCGGTTTAGGTTTTGAAAAATGTTCAGTGCCTGAAACAAGGGGGAGTAAGAAAAATAGTCACTTGAAAGAACGACACATGGATCTTGTCTTGTTGTGTAAATACTTTTTTAGTTTAGAATGGATTTGGTTTTGGTTGCTCTGGAAATTCCAAGCTATGTCTACTTATTTTGAGTTTGATATTTTTTTATTAAACAAAAGTGTGTGTAACGGTAACGTACATCATCTCTCAGTAAAGTCTTGCCAAACTCCAGGTGGTGTCTCTCCAGGATGGAGGAGCCATGGAGCTTCGCCAGGGGGTTACCAGACCTGGACACACACAGAAACACACACACAGCATGCAGGGAGGTGATACTGTCATACATCACATATGTAAAAACCAGTGTGAGCCTCGTCGCTGCATCAGGGGCTAGTCCTAGCACTCCATTAGCTCATTAGCTCCTCCATCAGTGGGTGGGGCAGAGCTGCTGGGGGCTTTATTTTTCTTAGCCTGATTGTATTTGTTCGGTCTGACGTTGCTTCACCCCCAGAGTTAAGTGCAGTTTGTCATTATAACAAGAGGAGTGGCTGCTGTCACTGACAGTCAATTCCACACTCTAACAACTGTCACATTCTCAAATAGAGGCAATTTTCTAAATAAATGCAACGGTGGCTGTCGACAAACTGGAACACGGGAGCAGTTACTTATATGTAAGCCCATTTCCAGTGTGTTTACTATTAATGATTATCATTCATTTTCTATAATGGGTTTTCCTAGACCTGTGTTTGAGCCAAGTCACATATTAACATTAGAAAAATCCTGCGGCGCATTGCCAAACAAAAATGTCACAAATTACATGTTATAAAATATATATGACCTTCTAGTTTCAATTTACTTTACATACCATTGACTTACTCAGTGTGGCCTGTTTAGTTGAACACAATGCTGAAATACTCTCAGGTATTTAAGGAAAACACAGACAAAGTTCTTCAACAGCTCTTGCTCTCTTTTCTAGTATTTAGAGCCATCTGCCTTCACCTATGGGAATATTATTTAATGGTTCTGTTTGTAACTGGTGCATAGAAAATAAAGTCAAATCTGCAGCAAATAAATAGTAGTTTTTATGCAAATAAACAAAAATTTGATAATTTTCTATGGCACTCCTGGCAGTCTGTATTCAGATTAAAAATTCCAGGGAGTGAAGCCGGACTGGATTGCTTTAAAATGTTGTAAAATATCTTCTGTACTACAGTATTAAAACATCTATAATTTTATAACATCTTAAACATTAGTTTTTTTTTCTATTTATTCTAAAGGTGTACATATTTCTTTCTTAATTGTACCCTAAAATGCAAGTGATAAATAATTAGACAAAGTCTTGTTAAGTGAGTAGAGTTTGTAGCAGTAGTCGAAGTTGCTTCAGCCAACAATCTTTGGTACTCTGGACTTTTTAATATCCTTGTCGTCTCCCTCCTTCACTTACTTCATCTGGTACAGGTTGTTGGTCCCTCTGTGGTCAATATCATGGCACAAACCAGCAGTGACCATTGCCATACACTCCAGGTCTGTGTAGTAACGTTTAAGGTCACCTGTCTGAGGACACAAGACAAACACACATGGACGTACTGGAATATGACATCATAAAATCCACATCAAACTCATCAACAACCAGATTTCACCTGATGTATTTCTAATTTGGACTAATTTTAAATTCCTCAATAGTTCCCATTGCAGTGAAAAAAACTGCTTTAGATATGCATACAAATATTTCTTGGGTAACTTATTAATAACATGTTAATGGAAAAGTGACCTATTTTACCTATTTATTGTTTACAGATGCACATCATTATCTCTGGCCCTCCCCCCATGGCTTGAACCCCACACATAAACATAAGACGTAAATATTCACAGCACAGGAAGAGAAGAGATTTTGGAATTTATTGATAAAGACGGAGGTTTGAGTGTGAGAGTCTGACCATTAGCAGAGTGAACATGGTCTGTCCCACGTTGAAACCGTGTCGCCAGTTGTGGTATGTGATTTTCCTGTAGCCTTTGCTCAGGGACTAAATGAATCTCACCAGAGCCTACAGCACAAACACACACACACACACACACACACAGAGTACAGTTACTGTTTCTATAAAATGTTTATGAGGCATACAGTGTAATTAACAGTACAATAACAATAGTTCCTTCTACTGCACCAATGATGGTGGCTCCGGAGTGGTGTTATATCTTAAAATAAACCAAATAAGTTATTTTCTTTATTCAATTTGAACATGATTTTTGAGGCATAACCTATTCAATAATTTCAATTTATTGCATCACATTTTTAATGTGAGGTTTTATAAAGGCTTTTTAAAAAGTGGTCTGTGGGCAACATTGCGGAACAAACCACCAGCATAATTCTTTCAAGTTGATTTACTGAAAACGTAGATGGGTACACATATGGGTTTGTTGCCTGTGGGTAACACAGAACCACAGAGACTTCATGGTCGTGGAGCGGTTAGCTCTGTTGTTTCAAAAAGAAGTCATTGGTTTGACTCTCTGTGACCTGTGTTTACTCTCAACTTTTTCCCATTTACTGTTCTTCCCTAGTGTTTAAAATATATTTATTAGAGATTGGTTTTTATGGAGACTCTAAATTACTGTTATTGATCTTGTAAATTATTCTAGTTATCTTGTCGATTTAGCTTCTTTCCAGAGTGAAACCTGCCTTTTATCCAATCATCACTTCTCCCTGTCACCATTAGGAGGATGAGTAGATGGAGCTGAAAAGGTGCAGATATATTTACATATTCACCTGAAGAATCTGAATGATTTCCTTCATATTTTAAAACCCACCTGAACCTTTGGTGACACGTTGATGGATCCTCTGTCTACATCTGACTAAAATAGCACACCTGTCTTAGTGGATGCTTCTGTTTGTCTCCACCTATAAGCCTGCATGTTAAGTAGCTCCTTACTCTTACTGCTTCTGCCTTTACATGCTGAATATTATCCCTAACTCAAGCCTTTCCAGCTGACTTTACATACGTCCTTTGGAGTTTGTGAATGTCTTATCGTTGCATACAGAAAGATGAATCAGTCATGGTGGCACCCACCTCTCGAGGGATGTGAAATTTATCCACCACCTTTAGCTCGTAGTACATCTGGATGCCACACTTCACCAGTTCTAGCTCAGTGTGGTAATAGTCGTAGAAGTGGAACTCCAGGAGGTCAATTTTTTTGGAGTCGGGCAGAACTTCTGACTACAGACAGAGGTAGAAATTATAAAATCATTTCAAAGTTTTGTCCAGGTGTAAATCTCTCTGTGATTTGTCACATAACAGTCTGAGGTCTTTCTAGAAGAAAATACAACAATCTTTCAGAATGGTGTTTGTGTTTGGTCCATGATACACCTCCGCCAAATGGATTTCTCCTTTCTTTTTTTCTTTTTTTTAAGTCAAACCAAATTCATGAACAATTCCTTTCAAAGCTAAAGTTGACGTTTTGTTGTTACCAGGATTTCCTGCAGCTCCTCTTCCTCACACTCGTCAGGCTCCTTCCCCCATCTCTCTCTGGTGTTCTGAGGGAAACACACACACACACACACATCGTGATCATCATCACCATCAGAAACAGCAGCACTCACCTTGGATGAAAGGCTTTGACATCAATCACCTGACATCTGGTCTGAGGTCAGAGCAGGTTTTTCCTCTGCTCTTCTTCCCTTTGTCAGACTATAATAACACAGCCTCTCACTCTATCCTGACACTTTATTTCAGTTTATAGTTTTTTCCTCCCCGTGCTTGAGTCTTTAACATTAACTATCAGAATAAGGAGTAAACAAACAGTAGTTAAAGTAAAGTTTGTTTTGATGGTGAAATTGACGTAATAAAAAAAGACATTTCCGTTGGCTTCTCACTGACCAGTATGTTTTGGATTTCGTCCTTGCGACACTTGACGTGGTACAGCACCATGTCCTGAAAGATGTCCTTCCTGTTCTCCAGTTTGTTCATCTTGTCGTAGGTGTCAGTGTTCAGCACAGACCAGCCCAGGAACTGGGTCAGAGACTGGACATGTTTGTAAAAAAAAAAAAGAAAAAGAAAAGTCACTATTAATTGTCTAACTGAGTTTTAAGATTTAATGAATTAAAATAAAAATATTATGAAGCTAATGAAAATATTTTAAATTCTTTTTTTATTAGGGATGTCCAAAAATATCGGCTGATATTAGCATAATATTGGTAAGAATTTGTATTTATTGAATTAAATATTTATTTAATTATTTATTGTTATTGGTTTAAAGTATTTAAATTAGGGCTGACATAGTAACGCATTAACTGCATCATTCAGTGAAATTATTCAAATTAAAATTTCAAGGCATTATACGTAATGCATAACCAGAATCTGTGGCGTGTCTATGTAATAATAAACTGTCCAATTACTTCCCATTTTGTTATCTGCACCAAGTGTTATATTTTTAAAAATATATAGAATTTGACAACTCTAATTTTCTATTATCTTAAAATATTGGTATTAACAATGAATAAATTAGGCTTGACTAAATGACTGTTTAGCGAGATAATCTCCTAATCAACAGCTAACAATAATTTAACACTTTGGGATCAATAAAGATAACAAGAATATTTCACAGTATTTGTGCTGTGAGTGCGTTGGAAATACAGACAGTTAAATAAGTTGTTTCCAACAGAAGTGCTCAAGTGGAGAACGAGGACAGTGTGTAACTAATGAGCTCAAACCTGTAGGCTGTAGACTTTTTGCTCGACTGCCCAGGACAACTTAATAAGTGTGAGCAGCACATTATCACAAAGAAGCAGGAGGACGTTTTAGAGAAAAGACAGGAAACGGCATAGGACACTGCTGAAACTGTGTCCCGCTTATTTGCTGTCCCACTCTCTGGAAGTGTTCCTGACATGGAGGAGAGATCGTCCACGTTCTGTATTGTACATCAGACTCAAGTAAATGAACTGGTCTTTCTATGTGGCCAAGAGCAATTAGAAGCATCTGGTTGAAATACTCGGTCAAAGTAAATGTTTATACAGAAATATCAAAACAAAGCTGTTGCTAAAACCTGAGGTGAAAAGAGTTTCTTAAGTCAAATTACCTCAAAATCTCCTCAAATAAAAGTAAAAAGTTCCATCCACCAATAAAAGTACCAGGTAATCCACAAAAAGTCGAGATAAACCCCCTAGTTTTATTTAACTTTTCTGAACGAATGCCCTCCACCATGATAAGGGTTTGATCCCTGGCAGTCCGCCCAGCCCAGGAGGTCAACCATGGTCTTCTGCACCATTGTCAGAGGTGTATTCCCCTGGAGAATGAGTTGCAAGGAACTATCACTGGTTGTTGAAACTACTCCTTGTCCTTCGCAAGAAAATAAAATATCTGTCACAACTGTCTTGGAAGGCAAGGATTTGAACCCAGCGCTCCTGCACCATTATCAGAGGTTTGTTTTTCCTCTTGGTTGTCCTGCCATGTAAACAAGTACATGTAATTCATTACTTTTCACCTCTGGCTAAAACTTTTTTTTTATTTTGATCGATTTTTAAGTTAAGGTTTGAACCACCGTGTTGGGTTCCGAGCAGAGGACCAGAGGACACGGGTTTGTTTAAAAAGAAAGCCTCCAGGCACAGTGATAAATAATGCAGATGCTCTGAATGGCCCTGAGTGTATTTATAACCCAGTGACTGAGTACTAACACACACACAAACAGTTGTGTGTGTGTACTGTACCTCCATCAGTGTTTCATCCATGTCATCAAAGGGTTTCCCATCCTTCCTGTTGTAGAAAGTGGCCACACCCACGATCTCTTCTTTCTTGTTGACGATTGGCATCGACAGCACGTTCTTGATGGTCCAGCCTGAATTGTCCAGAGGCTCTCTCTGTGCATCCACACACACACACACACACACACACACACACACACACAAACACATTAATGGCTGTTTTTCCAAGTTGAAACATGACAAAAGTGTAGCGTGAGCTCCTGCATTCTGGGAGAAATGAGAAAAAGAATCAATAATTCACCTGCTCACTGGCCCCAAAAATCTGACCCTGCTGCTGCTGCTGCTGCTGATCTTGATGCTTCACTTTTAAAAAATGTATGCGTCTTGCATACATGCGGCGTTGGCAGTGAGAGTGTACTCACACAAATAGAAACGGAGGATAAATTGAGCTGCACAGAAGTTTATTGTTTGAATGGATGTCTGCAAAAACCACATGGAAATGATGATCTAAAGTGAGTCAGAGGAGGGAAAATACTCCTACTGGGGAGTTGATAAAGAGAGACAACGGAACGGAAAAGCAAATATAGACAATCTTATTAGAAAAGAATTACAATTATCGCTGTCAATCATGGATTTATTCAAAGATCTTGTTGAAGTCTTCTAAGTTTAGGGCAGACGGAAAGATCTTCTATCGTTATTGAAACGATAACATTTTTGAGGCCAACGGTTTTCTTCTTCTCTTCTATAATCATTTGTGGCCCAATACCAGGATATTGACAGTCCGTGGTCAAAATGACTTCAAAACAAATTGGCATGAAAAGCCAAACATTCCTGATTTACTAGGACTTAGAATTGAACAGTATCACATCTGTATGTATGTATCCTAAACAAATCACATCACAGACACAGATGGTCTTAAACCTCTGGCCTTAGGGCCACCTAATGTCATCCTGAAGCCAGCTTCCTTGCTCTAAGATGACTGCTGCTTCCATTTACCATGAAGTAGAGTTTTTGTCTGTCTTCAAATTACTGAACCAAATACTGTGTTTGATGCTGAATCAGTGCTGCAGAAAAGCTTTGGTTTTCACTTTATAAGCAACATTGTGTAATGATAATAAACACCTAAAGAGCGTAATAAACCACAGGAAACCAATGTGAGGTAAGTAGAGCAGACGACGTGGTTTTCATCATCTGTGCACTGAGGCCCATGTATTCCACTCTTTCTTTAAGATTATCCTCTGGCGGTCTCTTATGGTCCAAGGAGGGGCCATTAAGCAGCCGAGGTCATTTTTACTACATTATACTACTGTCGCTAAAGTAATATACGCTCTGCTTTATTCACACCACTGAGAGCGAATGCAGATACTGTGATCTGAATGCAAAGCCACTTCATTTTAATTTCAGTAGTAGCAGCAGCAGTAACAGTGCAAGTATTGGTGATTTTGTAAAAATTGCAGCTTTTTTCTCTTATCACTCTCAGAAGACTACTCACTGTAAAAAATATTAAAAATGTAAAAGAATATTTACCTGGAAGTCGAAGAATTCGTCCTCTCCTGCGTTCATTATGTTGCATATCTGTTAGAGAGGGAAGAGATAAAGGACAGAAAAGGATGAATAAAACCACTGGTTTAAGTATTCATGAAAAAGATTGATTATTTCTAATTATATTTCTCAAAGGTTACAAGGATATAATGATAAAATGTGTCAAAATTGTACAAGACACCTGAGAGTCACATCTTACGCGACATCGTCTTACAACTTTTTGACCTTGTTTCTAAAAGTTATGGAAACAAAAGGCAATTCAAATAATCTTTCAGGACTACAGCGTAGAACTAGTTAACAGCCTAAACCATAGACCGTTCGCAATAAGTGGATGTGGCTACAGTATCCAGCTGTTCAACTGTCATTTTAACACTATTTGCCTGTATGCAACGTCTCCTGTCATCTAATTCTGTCTAAACCACATTTTTATTGATACTATTTTTTTTTAATCCCTGGTTGGTTGAAATCCTTCAGACAAGGAAAAGTTTACCTGAATTAGTCGACTGTCGGGGCCTAAACATTTTATTTTCCCCAATTAAAATTCAGTGGGTGGTCTTCAAACTTCAGCTGAGTTAAATCCAGGTGATGACTTTTGTGTGATTTTATTTCGACAGGATGATAACATAACGGCCCACAGCCCCAACGATTGATTTACAACCGAATTCATTAGTGTCAGTCCGACGTGTCTCTTTTTGCTCGGCACATGCAGAGGGAAAACTCTCTGTAGGCAAATTGAGTTTTCAACTCTTCGACGATAGGAGGAGATAGACAGAGAGGGAGGAAAGATGATGCAGGGTTGAAAAATGACGAGCAGAAAAAGGCAACATGAGGACAGGACAGGAAGAGGGCAGACGGGATGGAGCAGAAGGAGGGATTGATGGACGAGCGACGCGGGTTCAGTGGTTTGAGGGTGGGTGGGAAAAAAGCACTGTGTGATTAATTGCAACTGCTGCAAAAGCATTACAATTATACATCATAGCAGCGTGTGGCTGAGCACTTTTCATTTCCACTACGGCGTGCACACTGACAAGTGTGTAATAGGGCGTTCTGCTCATGTGACCACCCGCAGTGTCAGGCCACCACTCCTTTTTTTGAAGAAGGACAGTGGCCTCATGTAGAGGAGGAATTTTTTTTTCCTGCTTTGGCTGAAGTTGTGAATTTAGAGTTTCGGACAAATCCAGTTTTCCTTTAAATCCAGCCTCTCTGTGAGAACCACAGCTTCTTCGTCAGGTTTTTGATTTCATGGCCATCGATGGTGTGACTCAGTGAAACCTTGTTGTAGTTAGGGACCAGACATGGGGGGTGGCCTGTAATTTATAATTTTGTTCAGCACCACTGCTTTCACAACAGTAACACAATAGTCCATGGTTATACACAACTCTGCCACATTCAGTTCTTTTGAATAACGTTTCCCATTTTCTTCAGTTTTAAGTTTATCAAACTGTTTTGGGCTCACAAGACAATACACTGTAAACAATACTGTTGTTTTTACTAAAAAAATCAGACAAATACATTTATATTTTACTGTATTTTCATGTGAAATGACTTTCAATTATGTTTTTTTTACTAAATTTCAATGTAAAATAATTGACATTTACATTATTTTATTTTAAAATGTTAATGGATTTATCTGTAGAAATGTATGCAAAAACAACCCTAACTCTTACATTTTTAGGGCATTTCACTGGAGAATAAGCAACAATTACAAGCAAATTTTGATAGAAATTACTGGTATAAGAGCATTCTTGTAATTATATTGTATTGATTTTCATATTGTGTTTTTAAACTACACAACATTTTACAGTTGTTTTTGGTTAAATGTTTGACAAAATATTCTAAATTATATGCTGCTTAATTGTTTTTCTTTTTGCTGTATTTTTACATTTTATTTTAGAGAATTTCTCTGTTTAATTCAGTGGGTGTGAAGGATAGTTTATATGATTGACCCTACACTGTTATTTTTCACAAGGCCCTCAACCTCCATTCACTGCATGATGTAAATCAAGGCATCATTGACAAGAACATCATGTAAAAAACTACATCATGATACCAAACCACAAAGTTGGCTGAATGAAAAATAACTCATTTTGTTTTGTAGAAAGTTGTACTGAAAACTCACAGCGCTCACGCATGTTCAGACCGCCCTGCCTTTGAGACGGGTTAATACTCCAAACACAGTGCGATGTGATGGAGGGGGCCAGGGGGGGTGAGGGGGTGCAACACAGCTGAGTTTTTGATTAAAATCTATAAATTCCTCTGGCTGACACCCAGAGTCCCACACACAGCTCGTGCAGGGATTTCTGCTCCACTTGTTTGATATATAATCTACTCAAAAACGGACAAGGAAAAATGTTGCTGTACATCATCCAGAGTTATTATCAGACAGGCTGCTGTTTGTTTATCACTCTCCTGCCGAACACGGAAAGTTTTTCTTTTGTTTG